AGGTGAGACCTGGTTCCTGACGCACGTTGAACTCAAAGACGCTTTAGTCCTCGTCCTCTCGGCTCGAGTCTCTCTCAGAATCAGGAGCAGGCCGCTGCTGCTGCTATTGCGTCAAATCAACGCCGTAAAACAATAAAACGCGGCTTCCAGCATCCACGCAGGTCTCTGCTGCTCGGCCAGAACTTCAGAGCTTGTTTGAGAAGGGAAGTCGTCACTGACTCCGCCGTACTGTCCCTTTAAGACGCGCTGCTCCGTCTTGCTGGGGCTTTAATCCGATTTGTACCTGATGGAGTTGAACCTTTTGTACGTGGAGCGATGAGGTTAATATTTGGTGTGCGCCGTAACGGTCATTGACATCGATCTCGTCGCGTTAAGGTGACCAACATGTCCGAGGAGCTCACCGTCCTCGAGAGCTGTCTGAAGGACGCGGAGACGGGAAGTGACGGCCCGGAGGACGTGTGCATGACGGAGTCGCCTCAGACCAACACCGAGACGGCCATCCAGTCCCTCATCGAGACGCTGAGAGCCAGAGACTTTGGCTCCGCCCTCTCCCAGGTCAAAGTCTTCAGGTGAGCGCCCACCTGACCAAAGGCAGTTCAGTAAGTCCGAAGTAATCCTCGCCCGCACGTCGGACCCCAATTCAGTGTTCCACTCATTCGACCTCTGCAGGTCCCTGTGGCCCAGCGACATCTTCGGCAGCGAGGCGGACGACGCCGTGCAGACCCTCCTGCACATCTACTTCCGCCACCAGACGCTGGGCCAGACGGGCTGCCTCGCCGTGGTCGGGCCGAGCCGGGACCTCAGCCCGGCCAGCGCCCGCCTCACCGAGCTCAACCTGCAGATCCGCGAGGCGCTGGGCCGGGCGCAGGCCGTCCAGGCCCTCGGGGTCAGCACCGGACTGTGACACCCCCCCCCCCCCCCCCCCCATCGCTCTACACAGACCTCACCTCAGCTGTAGAGAGACTCCACCTATAAAGGGCTAACGGATGAGTGGGAATAACTGACTCCTTATTTATACATCTACATGCTATAGATCTATAGATGTCCATATCTATAGATCTATGTGCATATAGATGTGTTGCGCGTATGAATGCTTCGGGCTGACGTCTTTTCCCGGACGAAGCCGACCTGCAGAATTCAGTTGCAATAAAGTCGTGTGGTGTTTTTTTTTTTTTTCTGGGAAGAAAAGCGCTGACTTCTGTTTAGCTTCAGGGTTTCTTTGCCGGATGGAACCTGACGGCTCCTCCTCCAGAGGGGGGGGGCGCCGGGGGGGTCATGGGAGCATGGGGAGCGTGTGTGCGTGTGTGCGCGTGTGTGTGTGTGTGTGTGATGACACGCCGGCAAGATTCATACGCAGAACACGGGAGAGAGAATAAAACACCTTGTTTAAAACGTTTTCAAACGCATGCTTGAAAGAGGAAAAAAAAAAAGCACTGCGAGAATATTTTCTTGAGAAATGTATTTTTTATTAGAGCTAACATCCTAGGTTGTAAAATGTTAGGATATTTAACATTGTAGCCCTGTGGGAGACGTTCTGCCTTTCAGGGAGTGTAAAAAGAGAAATCTATATATATATATCGGTTTATTGATCTGCTCTGAGAGGATCGGTCTCCGCTTTAACCAAATAAGTAGCTTTCTTTAGAGACTCTACGTGCATATCGACCTTATGGAAACATAACTTATTTTACTCTGTATATATTTTAGAGAAAGTGTAAAACCAGTATTTTTCTCCCCTTGTGATGCACTGTTGATCCGGCAGGAAGTGACGAGTGTTCATCCGCCCCTCAGGCGATTGTTTGGGGGGTCTGATGACGCCCCCCCGCCTCCCGCTCTGATCCAAACCAGTCATATGCATTCCTTCTCCTCCACTGTGATCGGCCCGCCGAAACCCTCTGACTTCTTTTTTTTTAATCACGTTGCTAAGCAACCCCCCCTCATCCTGTTACGTTTTATTTTTCCTGGAGGGAGAAACAGTCGAAGCTGCGCTTTGCTGGGAGATCCGGTCTCGGCACATTGTAACACGTCACTGTACTCATTCCTCCTGCTTGTCTGGTACATTTGAATGCTGTTATTTAATTATTTTCCTGGAAGATGTTTTAATGTGGAGGTGCATTATACCTTTTTTTTCTTTACTCACATACCAGCCTTCTCTCTGGATAAATAAACTAATCATACAGCTGTGGATTGAAGTGTTTCCTTATGAACCGTAAAAGACATCCATCCACCTTCAAACCGCGACGCAATCAACACCTACCAACCTGATCCCCAAACCCAGGACCTTCTCGATGTATCTGAAGGCCATCTTGCGGAAATCTAGACGGATTTCAGCAAATGTTATTCTGGATGCTTGAACGTGGTGAAATTGCAGCTTTTGATACTTAATTGCGCAGCACAAATAGGCTTCTACGTCAATGGGAGCGGCAGAACTGCTCAAACCGCACATCTGGTTGGTTTGTTACGTCTGACATTACAGGAAATTGCCAAACTCTTATGCAGCCTACAGATGCTCTAATCGCCACTTGGTGGAAGTATACAGGGGCTGTGACAAAGACCTACTCGACAATCTTTAAATACTATTAAGAACCAATTACTCCAGAAACATAACGTAGGTGTCTTTACCCTTAAGTACTGAAATTGTCATTTTCCATTAAGTTTCTCAAAACCAGAGGGGATGACGGGACGGTTTTGCTGCTCAGCTTAGGAAAATAGTTGTCACAACACCATCTAAGATTAAACCAGCCATTCAAATTGTATAATAAAAGTATACTTCATGTTCCCATCCTGCAGGCAGAGTTTTAGTAGCCTATATTGATTTAACACCCATCTTTTTAATCTTGTGCGCAGTTTCATAACTACGTCCGACAGGTGAAAATTGAGCAGGTTATAATTTTAAAAGTACATGTACCACTACCAACACATGATTTTTAGTGAAATCCTTTATTTTTACTGTACCAATGTTCCCGCTCAGCAGAATTCTCAACATTTGAAAGCATCGGTCGTTGGAACATTTTATTTGGTGTACCACTTGATAATTAAAGGATCTGCAGAGCATAAATAATAGCACAGAATGCAAGGCAGCCATTTATTATATTGCAAATGTGCGTGGCGTTTAATCCGATCAACACAAAACAGGCATGAAATGAAGTCTGGAAACGAATGTTGAGATTCGTTGCATGAAATAATAAAAGGTGTTTGGTTGGTGGGATTGTCCGGACGTCTAGATGATGTACTTGAAGCTGAAGGTGCTTTCGCAGGACAGCCGCTTGCCTTTGCAGCGGCCGCACAGGTCCTGTCTGTGCGGCCGCTTGGGGTCCACGTGGCGCTGCGTCATGGCGCAGCAGCAGCGCGCTTTGTTGCACGTCTGGAGGGGAGAGTTTGGTTAGACTTGGCACGCGAGGCCTCCTGCAGAGATCGTGAGCGCGCTTACGTGGCACGTGATGTCCTCCACGCGGTACGGGTTGAAGTCCTTTTGGCATTTCCTGCAGAACTGTTTGAAGTAGACCTGCAACACAGCGCGCGCGCACGCGGACTTTACGGACCAACAGCAGTGGAGGTTCCGTTCATCACTCCAGATGGAACAAAGCAGTTATGGAAATAACGGGGCCGCGCTCACCTTGTTGGTTCCCTGAACGCACCACACGTACGCGCTCTCCCAGCGCAGGTTGCACGCTCTGCAGTGATAATATCCGTACTTCTGCTCCAGGAACTGAGCGCACGACAAGGAAACAGTCCAAGAGTTTAACGCAAAGCTCCGGTGGCTTCCGGTCTCAGTAAAAGCTCCCGAAGTAGAAAGGAAGCGGCCTCATAATATCTGCCAACTTTATATATAATTATATAACAGTTTACAAGGAGAGATCAGACCCAGTGGGCGTTCAAGTATTGTTCATTACGACAAGTTACATTTCAATGCTCAATGTTTCATGAAAGAAAAACCCAAAATCATTCAAACAAGTTTTTAAAAGTAAATCTGACGCAAAAAGAAATCCTCCAGGTTGACGTTTAGAATTTTAAATCAGAATGCGGAATAAAAAGCCTCATGTAAGAGTTAGATTATATATAAAATATTTACTTATTCCTTTCAAATACAGAACAGTACACAATACAGCGTTTTTTCTAAATATTCTTTATATGAAAATAAAGTATTAATTGTACCTTTGAGGATTTAAACCCGGTTCCTCGCGATCGAACCCGTCAATCACGTGACGGAACTCACCTGGAACCGCACGCGCGCCTTGCCCTTTGACCCCTCCGCAGTGAGCGGCGGCTCCTCGCCCCCCTGCTGGCTCTCGGTCTTGTCGCGGGGCTCCGGGGGCCTCGCGGCCTCGCTCTTCCTCCCGCCGCGCCTCCCCCCGGTGTCCGGCGGGTCAGCGGGGGTCTCTCCGGGCGGCGCGTCACCGCACGAGCCCTCTGCAACGCTGCTGCTGTTGTTGTTGTTGTTGTTGTTTTCATCGACCAGGAAGGAGGTGACGCTCCTGTAGGCGACGGGCGAGTACACCGCGAGGGTGCGCGGGTACCGCACGCCGCCTCCTCCGGGCGCCTTGTCGGGCTCCGGCGGCCTGCGGCTCCGGGAGTCCCGCTTCCAGGCCAGGAGGGTCCGCGGGCCGATGGAGCACTGCACCGCGGCGTCCCGCCTCGGGTTGACCTGCACCGCCACATCCTTGGTGTTGGCCTTCCGGAGCCGCGGGGTGAGTTTGGGGTTGATCTGCGATAAGATGGACTTGAGCTGCGCGCGCTGGTGGTTGTTGAAGGCGTCCGACGTGTCCCCGTAGGGGGACAGGTAGGTCTTGTACTTCCACCCCGCGTCTTTGGCCCGCGGGTATCTGCCCGCGTACGGGCCGTAGGATGAATACAAATAACTGTCTCCTGACTCGTCACCATACGTTGCCATTTTTGGCTCATCCAACCGGAGCTGCTGGGGGAGCCATTTAAGTAGACCCCCCCCCCATCAGGCCTAATTAGTCTCAGGTGTGGGACCGGAAACAATCAGAAGAATAGCGGCGTGCGGGAGAATAAACGTTCATGAAATAACCCTTTAAATGATTGTTGGACTGGATGAGAACGAGGACGACGATAAAGCAGCAAATAAAAGGTGAGAAATCACTTAGTAAATAAAAAGTATTAAAGGACAAATCAAACAGATGAAATGAGGAAGGAAGTTTCACAGGACGCAGGACAGTGAATCGTGTGGATTTACGGATAAAATGTACATTATCTGTTAGTGTGTCAGAAGCAGGATTCAGCGAGATCAGTTTAAATAAATCCATGAAATCAGGTTGAAAACGATACAAACGCTTTGCAGAGGACGACAAATAGAATTTATGAATTCAGAATGACTTGAGAGTGATTCGGTAAAAAGAAGAACCAGCGTCTTTTACACCTTTTTATTTAGCGGTTACATTAGTTCTTCATATCCACATATTGTACATGTTGAGCTGCTCGTCCGTTTGGCTTTCAGGATTAATGTGACTTTCACAGGTCGAAGTTTCAGTCCACTGACTTTTCTCTTCTCGACTTCTTGATTTTCACGTTTTTGTTTTCATGCTAAATAATTTAATTACAACAAATGAAAGAACACATTCATGACCAATCACATTTATGTGTGATTCTTCGAGGAGAAACTCTGTTCTACAGATTTAACGGTTTCCTGACCCGGGATTTCCGGGATTCTTTTCATTGATCGCCTTGAAAGCGTTAATTCATACACGTCGACGAATCTGTGGGTCAAACGTCTCACCGCTGCAGGAAAGTTAACTTCGACGAGATGAAGGAAAAAGCTTTTATTGCACTATTTTCAGGTGTTGAAGCGGAGTATCTTATTTTGAAAGGCCAGAATTGGGTTCCCGCATATGGTGACATCATTGATGGTCGTTTTGGCGGCGCTTTAATCAATGTTTAATATCCGCGGGGAAAAAAAGCGTGTTTACGGTGACGAAGGACACCTGTCCGGGTCAGGACGATACCAGCGCGCGGATAATTCACCGGCGTTCGCCTCCGTCTACGAGTCTCGTTTCAACAGTTTTAACTTTCAGAATTAAATCCGTATTTGGTTGTAAAGGTTAAGGAGCTAACGCTTACTTTATTTCTGTTAAATCACCAGAAAACATGATTTAGTGTTACTGGCCGGGTCAGGACACCGTGTTCGGCTCGGGACGTCCCGTCCAGGTTATTGCGTTGAATTGTTAAACTGAACACATGAAGCGTGATGACATCATCTCCTGTCCTCCAGGTTCCTCTTGGTGATGACGATTATTCTCCTGGATCCCGTCACACGGGGGTGGGGTCGGGGGGGCAGGGGTCCAACACGATGGTGTTCGGGTCGCGCACCGTCACGGCGCCATAAGACGGCTCCACGTCCTCCTCGTCGTCCTGAAAGCGCTGGTAGGTCACGTCCCCGCCGTCCCTCAGGGGGTCGGCCTTGTGCAGGACCTTCTCCCGGTACGTCCTGTAGACCAGGATGAAGACGCCGGCCTCGGCCGCCTGGAACAGCGCGTAGAGCAGCGGGAACATGTACATGCCCCCCACCAGCTGAGGGGGGAACGCCAGCTTCAGGATGGCGGTGCACAGCTGCACGTTCTGGCAGCCGGTTTCCAGGGAGACGGAGCGGCGGCTGCTGGGCGGCAGGTCGAAGAGCGCGGCCAGGCCGTAGCCCGCGGCATAGCCGCACAGCGGCATCAGCACGGCCACGGCGTAGACGGAGGGCGGGATGGCGGACAGCAGCTCGGGGCCCAGCATGGCGCCCGTCAGGATGAAGAGCATCAGGAGGGTGACCAGCAGGGACCACAGGGACACCTGCCGGGACAGACACACACACACACCCGTCACCTGGAGGGACACACACACCTCTGTCCTCCTGGACATGGATCATTGATGCATAGAGCTAAACAGGTGATCTGTTATCATGTTATAACGTGTTATAAGATGATGGTGTGTCATGTTATAACGTGTTATAACGTGTTATAACGTGTTATAACGTGTTATAACGTGTTATAACGTGTTATAACATGTTATAACACGATAACAGCTTTGGTTTTATATTTGAACTGCTGATAAAAAGCAGCTTATTTGTGTTTTCATACACGACTCCACCAGTGACGTCAGCAAGAGGCACCGAGTTATGAAAGTAAATATTACCGGATTTGTTGTTTAGGGTAACGCGTCTAAACGTTACGCACAAGCACGGCGCACACACGCACGCACACACACACACACACACTTGTGTTTCCGTGGCGATCGACGAAAAATAAAGTCTGTTTGGAGCAGTGCCAACAGAAGTTTTCGCAACCGAACGTTATTGATTCCGTTATTATGTTCAACGCGTGAATGAAAACACACGCTGCTGATATGAAGGCAAGTGGCTCGTTGTCGGCATTCATTCATCAAGTCAATATTAAGCCTGAAATAGTTTCTGACTCACCGATCGGTAGATTAATCGCACTGTTGTAAAACTCGTCTCAGATCCGTGAGCTTGATGACGCGTAGCTGTTGTGGTGACGTCAGCCGCACTAATGTCAAGTCACATCTCCATTTTAATCGGCCCGTATTTGATACGTAACGTAGATTCTTACCGGCACAACCTGTTTACGCCCAAAGGCACGGCAGAGTTTAATCGTGAGATTAATCGCGATAAAAGGTGGTAATCGTTTCCCAGCACTTCTATGTAGGACTTTGTCTTGTTCTTGAATTTAAATGACATGATATGATATTACTTTTTTTTTTACTGTACATACAATTACTATTTCGTAACCATTTTCTGTACTACGACTTCTTTATGATGTTTTTCTGACATGCCATCGTATTGCTCTGCAGTCACTGTGCTTCTTGGCCGTGGAGGGGCAGCGTGGTGCCGGTGAGCCTCCTGGTGTGAACGTCCTCGCTTCAAACCAAACCGGCCTGTTTTAGGATTTAAAAAAAAATCTTTGTACCATTTGAAAATACGCTGTTTTTTTTTTTTACGAAACCTTTTACGCATTTCCTTTACTTTTATGAAAACAAAACATGTTCATGAGAATCCATATGGTGACATATTTTGGGACCCCTTATATAAACACAGATTTGCATCTCTTCTGGGGAGGGGGGGGCTCTGGAGACAAAGACATCCTCTTGTAAACACAAGCGCGCCCGCCCCACCCCCCCTGGAGGGGTTTTTTCCCTGAGGGGGAGAGTTTTTTGGTGGCAGAGATCTATGTATTCATGTTGCCCCTCCCCCCCCCCCCCCCTCATCACAGGGAAATACGCACTGCGCTTTTGGGGAAAATGTTCCTCCTCAACTGAAATTCTAAAAGGTCCAAATGAGCCGTAACACAATAATTCATCTCATTGATGAAAAGAGATTTATCTCGAATTACCTTTAAAACAATGTCTGCCACGCGCGTGTAGCGGTACCTCAGCATCACCCCCAAACCGATGGGGATGAGAGTGCTGCACAGGGTCAGGATGATGGCCCCGAAGGGCATGAGGTTGACCACGGGCGTGTTGATCCAGGCCCGGCTGTAGATCCACAGGCACAGCGGCATCAGCACGAGGGCCAGCAGGGTGGAGGAGATGGTCATGACGATGCTGGGGAGAAGGAGGGCAAAGACGTGATGTTTGCTCACAATGTTTGACACCAACATCACGTTGTCCCGAGGAGCGTCTCATGGTGCGTGATGTCGTGCCAAAGTCCCGGTTCCTCCAGTGCCTCATTGGCTGAATATTGACCGACATGGTGGTTCATAGCTCTCCGTACACGAGTACAGTATATCTACCTCAGGTTCATCTCCCCGTTCGCCAGCAGAGACAGGATGTTGGATAAGTTTCCCCCCGGGCAGCAGCCGCAGAGGAGGACGGCCATCGCCGCCACATCGTCCAGAGAGAAGGCGAGAGCCAACAGGAAGGCCACCAAGGGCATGATGACGAACTGACACACCAGCGCCAGCAGCACCCCGATGGGTCTGCGCACGTGCTCCCCGAGCTGGCTGACGTCCACCGTGCAGCCCAGCCCCAGCATGGTGAAGCACAGCACAAGTCCCACGAACACGTTGATGCCGTGGCTGAGCGGCGAATCCCAGAAGGCGGGCACCAGGTGAGGGGGTTCCGTCGGCGGAGCCGCCATGAAGTCCGCGCCGGCGGCGGCCCGGAACGCGCCGCCTTCCCGGAGGACGGCCACCAGTCCCGCCACGGCGGCGCCCTTTGGAGGATCCGCGACCTGTGTCGAGGTGCCCGACGTGAAGTCTGCCAAGCCAGCGCGCTGTGCGTCGCCGCCCAGCCGGCTGGAGTTCTCCATGGCGCAACAGGAGAGGCGGAGGCTCGCGCGTAAAACGGTTCCGCTAGCGGCGCAGCGGCACTGAGGAGAAGCAGCGCTCCGTGGTCGGGGGGACGGGATGGGGCCAGACCGCGGATGCGCTCTTCGAGGCGGACTGGGGCCACGGATTGGCTCCCGGTGACACGCACACAGCTGGAGGGGTCTGCACACGGGCACGCGCAGAGGAGGGGGGGGATGGACCAATCAACGAGGCGCCCGGTACTGAGTGCGTTTTACGCACGAAATCCTCTCATACTTTATGGTCACGTGTAGTTTTAATAAAATGATTGTGACAATGAGTTGTTGTGTGCGTGGGGGGGGGGGGGGGGTGACTGACGTCACGTCTTCAGCCCCCCCCGTTGACCAATGTGGGACTCCAGCCACGCAAAGCTAAAGATGTGTCCTGCGTGTGTCACCTTCATCTCAAGCGGCTTTATGACGCATAAAGTCATTGACGTGACGTCACTCGCCCGGTGGTCGACATCCATTACTAAATTAAAAAAAGCAGATTGAAGGTTCGACACCGGAAACAAATGTTAACAAATGTTCTTTTGTGTGTTTTTAGTGACTTAAAGGTCCTTCTTCCACTTATTTGCAGTTTTATGTATTTGGTCACTTTTCATTTATTTAATTTATTCATTTACTGTATATACACTAACATATAATAGAACATGTTCTATTTACATAATGCAAAAACCTTCTCCATTCATGTGCATTTGT